CCAGAGAACCAAAAGATAGCAGAGAAGTGAGAAGTTTTCTAGGGTTGGTAAACTTAGTGCTAGGTACATTCCCGACTTGGCTACCAAAACTGAACCACTTAGGCGGTTGACGAAAAAGGATGTTCCATTTAAATGGGAAAAGGAACAACAAGATGCATTTAATGCCCTACGAAATGTGTTGGTAGAAGACACACTAGCATATTTTAATCATTCTGATAAGTTAAGGGTAGTAGCTGATGCAAGTCCAGTCGGGCTTGGGGCGGTGCTCCTTCAGCTCCAGGAAGGTGACTGGAGACCTATATGTCTGTCTCTTATACACATCTAGATGTGTATAAGAGACAGCATTCATCTTCTCCATTAAAATATGAGGTTTAATTGTATTAAAAGCTGAGGAAAAATCTAAAAATAAAACTCTAGCATATGCATTAGCACTCTCTAGATGAACAAGAATTTTATGCAATAGGGTAGTAATTTACCATGTCCATCTCAATTTTCTCATTAACTAAAATCAAACATGTGATCTTGCTATGGTCTTAAACATGAGTGAGGGGACATTACATCATTCATCTTATCTCACTTCTACAACGTGTTAATAATTTTTTTTCCCTAGAGTCTAGATTTAATCTCAGCCATGTGGGCCTGAGGTGAATATGGCCCAATTGTCGGGAAAAAATGGCCACCAGGCAGAGAATCATTGATGCCATAATGATTTAATAATAGGTTTCAACCCACCTACAAATGCCTCTATCACATGTTCCATGACCGTTGCACATGCGAGGGCACTGCTCACCAATATAAATGTTATCAATTGCCCAAGAATCTGATGGCTGGAAACGCTTCTGTATCCATCGGAATCGAGTTGCAAGAGACCTGCCAAGACATAATGACTTATGGATTATTATGTCGATTTTATTATAAGGTCAGTCCACAATATAAAACTTTATGTGACAAATGTGTGTGATGTGCCCATATATGGGCATGATGATATCATATTACACACAAATATGGGCATATCACATTTATTTCTCACATAAAATTTAAACAGAGGTTAAATAATTTGAGGACCACAATTTATTTATAATTATTAATGAGAAAGCAGATTATCAAATAAAACTATTTTTAAAAAAATATACACAGAAAACTACATACAAACTTTTCATAATAAACAAACCTAAAAATAAAATCCTGGTTCCTACCTCATTTTACGCGACAGTGGAATTGTGACTCTAACCCATTCACTATAGACAGTGTTGTCATAGCAACTAGCTCCATGATAGTTATCACAACCAGGCTGCCCCGGTAAACATTCACTGGTTACCAATTGCCAGGTTAACCCATGATTTGTAGAAAATTCTAGACAAATTTTCCGTCCTGAAAAAGACCAAAAAAAATTTATTATTAGTATGTATATTTAGTAGTGGTCTCAACAGCGTAGGAGAGATCATATCAATAAGACTCAGAAGTCATGTCAGTGAGGTTCATAGGTCATGTCAGTGAGGTCCATAGGTCATGTCAGTGAGGTTCAAACAGGAAAGAATTCTAGCTATCACAAGGTGTGAGCCAGGATACATATGAATCTTACAGCTAAGTTGCACCCCTTGGATATTGTTGCTCAGGACCCACAAAACAATAGCATAAAAGTACTTAACAAGGTGCGTTTGTAGGACAACACATATTTTTAGGGCAGAAACATATTCTAGGCTCTGTTCTTACTAGTCAGTTGTTTAGTTTGATTAACATTCCAGAAAGGTCCATTATGACTTGAAAAATCACTCTTTCAACAGAACTGATTAGAAAAATACAAGAATAACTTCTACTATCATTGGGCCTTAATATCAATGTATATACATATATTGTTATTGAATGATCTGTTAATTAACTACCACTTAACTCTTACCATTTTTCATGAGGTTGTTTCTATCACAGTCCACAGCCAGTTCAAACTGAATCATGTATGTAGCGCCAACTTCTATGGATTGTGTTTCAACGTAACGCCAACCACCAGCCTCAGAAGATCCATTAAAACTTTCAAACAAAATCATAATTTAACAATTATACTGAATTTTTAGTCCTAAAATATTCATATTCTTTGTTGAAAATTACATTCTTTCCCATTCTCCCTATTAAACTATTATGTAACACACCTAATTAGATCCTGTCTTATGATTGGTGGATTTATCATCAAGTGATGTTGGGTATTTAAACCTTTATAATAATCTGTTTTAATTTGTTTACTTTCTGTTAGGTGTGTAAATAAGAATTAAACAAAAATAACTTATGAATGTTGTATGTACTTTGGTTATGACACTATATTGGGTCTGTCTCTTATACACATCTAGATGTGTATAAGAGACAGGCTATATTGTTTGTCCTCATACCTATGACTGTCATGGTACTCTCCTTTCAGTAAATCTATCGGGGTGGATTTAGTGGGGGGTCTGGGCCGGCCCCGCTCCCCCCCTCCCCACTCTATTTGAAAAGTCAAAAATTAAAAGAAGCAAAAAACAAAAAGAAATAAAAAGAAAAAATTATCACCCAAAAGTCCTCTGAGGCTATATTTGGACGTCCAGAACACAGAAATTTTGCGGGGGTTGCGCGGGTATGCTCCCGGACCTCCTAGGGTATTATCTCCAGCGGTCTCACTTTTGGCACTCCCTTCCGCCCCCACCCCCTTCTGGACACCTCTGGATCCTCCCGTGTCTATTCAAACCCTACACATGACTTATGGTCCCAAATATCTCTTACCATCATCATATTAAATATTCAAACATTTTAAAATATTTGCAGTAATATACCTTGGATTCCTATTCTCATTATATGCAACATGTTTGAGAAATGACCATGAAATTCCATTGTTGCACGAATAATGGAGCAGAATGCCCTCTGCTGGATCGTTTGGCGGGCTACATGAGCTTACAGTTGAATGACTTCCAACACGAATGGTAAACTTCAGATAACTATAAATATAAAGAAAACAAGTCTGAGTACAAGTAGGCAGAAAATAACATTTCTGATTCCATCAAAACAAAATATGTAAGTGCTTTAGGGGTCACATTGGTATGTTGTTTGGTTGCATTCACTAACAAAATATCTTGAGTGTCCTCCATCCCTACATCATACAGGTCATAATTCTAGACTAATTCTGCCCTTTGACATAGCTGTTTGAACCCTGTGTGCTACAAAGGGACAGCACAACAACACAGCTCAAGTGATTAGCAAAGGTTTAAGCTGAAGAGAGATAAAATGAGAGCTAGAAATTACATGGCTAATTGTAGATAGCCTAGGCTCTAACTAACCATAATTAGTACAACTTACTGGGCACCGGTGCTATTCATCTCAACAGTAGTGAGCTCCCTCGGGCCTGGCTGATTAAAAACCAAAGCCTTACCACTGGCTAGCAGACCACACTCATACCCAACAACTGCTCCGGATGCACTACTGAATCCTGTGCTAGACAGATTATTGAAGTATTCTTCAAGACTCTTTCTTATAGAATTTAGTCCTGCTCCACAATCTTGACCTGTGAACCCAAGGTCACATTGGCATTGACCTGATGGACCACACTGACCATGTCCGGAGCACATTTTTGGGCAAGCTGGACCAATGTATACTGTGAATAAAATTAAGAATTTAAATATTCAAACAACTTCTAACTATAATTAAGTGCCACACTTAACCAAATTCTACATCTCCCCATTCCAAGATGAATGCTTTTTACAAATTGGTAGTAAAATTGTAATAGTAATACTTTATTAATAAGAAAATGTAGATTTATTCAGGTTTACATATTACTGTATACATTAATACCAAACTTGCTAACAGCTTACCATCATCAATAGCCCAGTTGGAGCCTTGCTGGTCTGCTAGTTCTTTCCATCTAAATCGAGTTGAACTGGTCAGGGCTGCATATGGTAGTGGCATTGTTATGCGATGCCATCTATTTGAAGAAACAATCATAGTATTGTACTTAATTCAGGTTAAGTTTTTTCACTTTCTATTGCTTACTTCATTAGTTCAAGTCAAAGACGCAACGTAGACGCGCTTTGGTGCCAATAAAATGCCTTTAAATGTGAGTGCTGTGTATTTGTGGACACTGCATATACATTAAGAAATGTTGTCATACCTGTCTTCATTGTCCTTTGAAATGAAGACCGATCTATCTGGTGTTGGATCCATTTGACATTGTCCTGGTAAGCAATCTGATTGAACAAAGGACCAACTTAAGCCATGGTCAGTTGAAAACTCCACATGAATCTCACTAGGGTCTCGCAGCTCTCCGCAGCCTGCGTGTAGGTTGAATTGAAGTAAATGCGTCGTTCTACTTGGTACTGTTGGTAGCAGATGGACATTATCAACCGCCCAGACATTTCGGTTTAAACCGTTATGTCTGTGTTGCACTATACAAAAGCGAGTTGATGATGTTTGGACTTTGGGTGGTACTACGACAGACACCAACTTTGAGACCTAAAAATGAAATATGAAATAAAAAATTGCAGCCTTATTAAAATTGTTTAGAATATTAATGATAAATATTTATGATGGTTATACAAGACATCACATGACCACTATCAATCAAATATTTATATTTTATTGTTAACTTCACCTTGTAAGTATTGTGAGCCAATCTAGCAAGTTCCACACTGTATGTAAATTGGCCGGAAACCTCGGCAACAACCGACACACTGACATCAGCGGAGTCTGCAGGATCGCATGAACCGCCACCTTTAGTAGTAAAAAAAATTTTGTAACAATTTAACACAAATTATAATTATTTATATATGATATTTGGAATATAGAGCATAATTGTTTACATACCTAATGTGAAGTAAAAACGGAAGTTCCCAACACCTGTAGCATTTTGAAATGGTGTACACATCGACCTTTGAACTGGTCCATTAAACACTGCTGCTTTAGCTCCATATACTCTACCACAAATGTTACTGATTTCAGCACCAGATATAGCCCACCTGTAGAGGGCAGCAGATATTTTAAAATTTATGAATATACATATGATATACAATGTATTGTTTATCCAGTTTTACAAATTTTCTTTGACAAAAAACTTTTGTATGTCTATATATAGTCATGATTTGCCTATATATGGTCATGATGTGATGTAATCATGACCAGATGTAGGCATGTCCCATGTTTTTGTTAAATAAAATTTGAAAGTCTGGACAGAAATTATGAAAAGGCGGGAGCATACAAAAGCATACAGATGACAATGGGTTTGTCCTCCTGTATCTCCGTATATGGGTGTACAAGCATACTGTGCTGTTTGTGCTTTCTATACTCATTGGCATGTCATGGTGCAAAATACAACTTATAAAAGTTACTCGCCCTTCAGGGAAGTGGTAGTCGAAGCTTTGTTGCAGGATAGGCTCTGTGCCTTCAACAAACAAGTTCAAATCTCTTGACGTTACTGACTGCATCAGATATCCATATTCAGGCATGCCACGGAATACCAAAGCATTACCTTCAGAATTGCATTCATTCTAAAAGAAAAAGTTTACAATCAATGATGAATATACCCCTTTCATACAACAGCAGTAGAAGCAGTTTGGTTCAGCGGGAACGGTTTGGTTTCCCAAACTCGAGGACAGGGTTTCAATCCCATGCTGTGCTTTTCATTTGTGTCCTTGAGTAAGGTACTGTATCTGCATTGCTTCTCTCCACCCTGGTGTGGACCAAATGAACATGGAAAAATTGCGCTTTATAACCACAAGGAAAAGCCAGTAACAGTACCAACACCACAGATATGTAGCCTACTAAATATTAACAAAGGATAGTCTCCCTGGCAATTTGGAATCCAACTACATTGGAATCAAGTAAATTAATGATAAATATAATAATAAATTTTATAATAATAATACTTTGAATAATAGACAGAATTTGAATAATTTGAACTTTGAACTTACTTTAATCACAGCATTGGGAAGGAACAGCCAGTCATTAGGATCAACTGGATCAAAATTAGCTTGTAGGTGACTAGGTGGGTTAGCAGCGTTGATGATCAAGACGTTATCTAATGCCCAGCAACCCTCATACGTTTCAGTGTCCATTGCAAGATCTTGATTGAACCTCAGACAGATGTCATCTTGTCGTGCTTCCTTTGGGAGATGGATAATATGGATGACAGCCTCACTTGTGTTGACAGGCACACTGAAGAATAAAAAACACTTTACAAAAAGTGTACTACAATGTTACGTCAGGATACCATGTGATACTACTCCGTTGCTTTCGTTGCAAAATGAGTTCAACCGGACGCCATTTTCTCCACTGACAATTGATCCCAATTTCTATCGTAATTATTAAGATGTTGTATCCTACTTTTTCTTTGTGAATTTTAATTGATGATTAAATGTGTGTTCGATAACTAATATAATGCGAGCTTTGTTTTTAGTACATTTTGATGGTAAAATTTTGAATTTTAAAATGTCTATTCCAGAAAGCCTATGATGTCATTCAGGCGTAATAAACGGTAACAAACGACACGACTGTGGTACTCTATATATACATTAACATTCATCACTAGCTACCAAGAGCAAGCTTGGTGGTCTAGTGGTTAAAAGGCATCACTTGTTAAGGGCAACTCAGACAGCATCATGCGAAGCAGCTCGATGCGAGTTGTTGTCACGTCTGGCCTGTTGGAAGCAGTCGCATCGTAGAATATTAAACATGTTTAATATTTCTCACAACAGCTCAAGTCACCTTGTTGCCAGCTTATAACAAATGATGCCTACAAAAAAAAAATCTACAAGCATTTTAAATCTGAGCGCCACCCCTTTATTAAGACACCAACCAGACACCATCTGGAGGTCGTGGGTTCCATCCCTACCTGAATCAGTTTTGAGATTTTTTCGCAAGCATTTGGAATATACTGAGCATTCCGTATGATAACACGTCAGGTACGGCAAACATTATTCATATTATTTCTCTTAACGCAAAACATCGGAAAATAACATTATACCAACCAACATAATCAGCTTTAGACTTGAACATGTAAATTCTTGATTGTAAGGAAGGACCCTACACCAAATGCTCCTAATGGTAACTTACGGTATTCTGTCAATAATCCTCCAGTCCCTCTGATCACTAATAGCATACGACACTGTTATACTGTAATCATTCACACCTGGATGACAAGTACCTACACCTGCAAATAAGCATATGCAAATATATTTAAATAATGAAGATATTAATTCAACATGTCTTAGTGACTAGTAAGAAATTGATAATGACAATGAGGATGTTGATAATGATGATGCTGATGATGTTGATGATGATAATGTTGATTTAATATGACAGATGATTATGATGATGACGACAGTAGCAATGGTGTTGTGGATGATAATGATAGCAGCAGCAATAGCAGTGGTTCCCACAATGGTCAAAGATGATCATTCAAATTCAAATTCAAATTTATTGTCCAAAAAGGAAATTACATTGAGAAAAAGTCATTGCTCAAGAATTACACAATTACAGTATAAAAAAAAAAAAAACATCAATATAAAAATACAGAATTATAAAGTTTATAAATACATGCAAATTAACACATTAGAAATATCAAATAAAATACATTATATACAATAAAATTTACATTGTAGAAAAATTAGGGTGTTAAATTACATCATGGTAAAGTTAGTAATGATGATATACAACATACTTTCTGATGACATCTCTATCGACTTACTAATTGCAAATTGCAGTACAGATGCAGTGCTGGTGTTCAGATGTACTGTATTCAATTCTCGTGGCCCTCTAGGGTTGCAAAATACCATGGATTTACCATACATCACAGTACCACAAGTATCACTAATCTCTCCACCATGCACTTCTGACCTGAATCCAAATAGAAAAGAAATGTGCTTTTATTTGTTAGAAATTTTAGGGCAATTTTTAAGTTATACTATTGTTAGTACTGTCATTTTTATATTTCATTTCATATAATTTTTTAAAAATTTAATTATTAATTATTAATTAATAATATTTACTTATAGCAAGCATTTTCACATTTAAATCTGTTCAATGCAGTTTATATAACAAGATGATAAAATAATATATTAAAATAAGACATTATACAATGAAATTACAAAAATATTAAATAGGAAGACTACAAAAATATACTTTAATTATTGATTATATCATTAAAATAATAAAAAAATTCACAAGAGGATACCCTCCACTTTCTGGTTTAAGTAAAATAAATGTGTCTGTGTAAAACATTTAAAAACATTAAAATAAGACTTCCCGGCCCGTATTCTTGAAAGCGGACTTAATTTAGTCCAGGACTAAATCTGGATTTAAACCAGGACTATCTAAAAATGGTATTCTCGGAGGTGGACTAAATTTAGTTTAGGTTTAGGCCAGGACTAAATCGAACAATTTTAGTCCACCAAGACATCTGGTTTAACAGTGGACTATATAGATATCTCATTGTAGGCATACATATACGAGGACAAATAAATAATAATTATTATTATTATTATTTTAATTTCCTGAACAGTTGATAGTATTTCAGACCTTTTCATTATTTTCTATCTGATAAAATTGAATAGTATCCTCTATTATAGTGGGTTAACCTTCATAAACAAATAAAGAGTTTTTGTAAAGAGAAGTAAATATTCAGCTGGTTCAAACTTTAGAGCCTTCTGTGAGGTCATTCACCCCTGTCTACATACCCAATAAATCACTTCCCTTGCTTTGTCAGAAAAAAATATGGATTTAAACCAGGACTATCTAAAAATGGTATTCTCGGAGGTGGACTAAATTTAGTTTAGGTTTAGGCCAGGACTAAATCGTACAATTTTAGTCCACCAAGACATCTGGTTTAACAGTGGACTATATAGATATCTCATTGTAGGCATACATATACGAGGACAAATAAATAATAATTATTATTATTATTATTGTAATTTCCTGAACAGTTGATAGTATTTCAGACCTTTTCATTATTTTCTATCTGATAAAATTGAATAGTATCCTCTATTATAGTGGGTTAACCTTCATAAACAAATAAAGAGTTTTTGTAAAGAGAAGTAAATATTCAGCTGGTTCAAACTTTAGAGCCTTCTGTGAGGTCATTCACCCCTGTCTACATACCCAATAAATCACTTCACTTGCTTTGTCAGAAAAAAAAAAAACACAACCATTGAACAAATTGATACCTAGTAGGAAACACATACTATTTAATAATGTAGCAGGAGGGACATACTGCAGTATGGAATTAAAATGGGGATTAGAACTTTTGGCCACATAATCATTAAAATTCCTATTATGGGATGGGTGTGACTCCTTGGGCAGGTTTGGATGTAGCCCTAATACCTATATGCGATTATTAGTACAGCATATTTAATAGAAAATAATGAAAGAATTATGTTTAGGATGAACTACAGTAGATGGAAGTTTGGTGTATTTCTTATATATATACCAATAAAGGTTCTTGAATCTTGAGAGAACTATAATATGCCTACACCATTTTTTTAGTTGGCAGTATGTGTTATAGTTATGCATGAGGTTTTGGTATGTGGGTGTGAGCTTGAGAGAGGCCTCAAATGTATGAGTCTCATATCCAATGTACAAGACTTGGTAGATTTGCATCATAGAAAATGATGTTTAAATGCCTTCCAAGATACAAGTTCACATCAAGGTTTTAAGAAGTATTTCATTTCAACTGCAGTTGAAAATCTGGAGAAATTTTCAATAATTCACCAGAGGCAAGTGGAATAACTTGTCTGGTTCTAGTGACACGTACATAGGTCAGATAATACTTTAATTATTGATTATATCATTAAAATAATAAAAAATTCACAAGAGCATACCCTCCACTTTCTGGTTTAAGTAAAATAAATGTGTCTGTGTAAAACATTTAAAAACATTAAAGTAAGACTTCCCGGCCCGTATTCTTGAAAGCGGACTTACTTTAGTTCAGGAATAAATCTGGATTTAAACCAGAACTATCTAAAAATGGTATTCTCTGAGGTGGACTAAATTTAGTCTAGGTTTAGGCCAGGACTAAATCGAACAATTTTAGTCCACCGAGACATCTGGTTTAACAGTGGACTATATAGATATCTCATTGTAGGCATACATATACGAGGACAAATAAATAATAATTATTATTATTATTATTGTAATTTCCTGAACAGTTGATAGTATTTCAGACCTCATTATTTTCTATCTGATAAAATTGAATACTGTAGTATCCTCTATTCAGCTGGTTCAAACTTTAGAGCCTTCTGTGAGGTCATTCACCCCTGTCTACTGTACATACCCAATAAATCACTTCCCTTGCTTTGTCAGAAAAAAAAAAACAACCATTGAACAAATTGCTACCTAGTAGGAAACACATACTATTTAATAATGCAGCAGGAGGGACATACTGCAGTATGGAATTAAAATGGGATTAGAACTTTTGGCCACATAATCATTAAAATTCCTATTATAGGATGGGTGTGACTCCTTGGGCAGGTTTGGATGTAGCCCTAATACCTATATGCGATTATTAGTGCAGCATATTTAATAGAAAATAATGAAAGAATTATGTTTAGGATGAACTACAGTAGATGGAAGTTTGGTGTATTTCTTATATATATACCAATAAAGGTTCTTGAATCTTGAGAGAACTATAATATGCCTACACCATTTTTTTAGTTGGCAGTATGTGTTATAGTTATGCATGAGGTTTTGGTATGTGGGTGTGAGCTTGAGAGAGGCCTCAAATGTATGAGTCTCATATCCAATGTACAAGACTTGGTAGATTTGCATCATAGAAAATGATGTTTAAATGCCTTCCAAGATACAAGTTCACATCAAGGTTTTAAGAAGTATTTCATTTCAACTGCAGTTGAAAATCTGGAGAAATTTTCAATAATTCACCAGAGGCAAGTGGAATAACTTGTCTGGTTCTAGTGACACGTACGTAGGTCAGATAACAGTAAAAGCATGCTGTAGGCTGTTTATGTCTATTCTAAACATTTTACAAAATCTACCAACACTTACCAGATGTAATTGAGGGCAGAGTTTGAGTCAGAATCAAAGTCATCTCTCAAAATAACACCACCAGAATCAATCGAAGCTGCAAAAGAAAAAATAAACAGACTTGTTAGCAAGGGAATTGCTACTAGGCAATGCAATAAACATTTAACACCTTGTCTCACCTTCTGAATATTTTTTCCTTAATAATAATAACTGTTAAAATAATGTCCCATTTTATGATGCATGTGTCAAATGTGTTAGTTATATGATCAGCTACTAGTAATACAAGCTTCACAAGTACAGAGTCAAAAAACACAACACAATTTAAGTTATGTTCAATGCTTACGGTACACCACAAATATAGTTCCGAAAAGAATTGTTGTTTGTTTTTAAATTTCTCAAGGTTTTAATTGAGTAAATTGATTCATTACTCAAGGATTTAATTAGGTGTTCAAATTAGAAAAAAAACTGAATGAATTTCAAAGAACTTGGGTTCATATCCCAACGTCTTTGTATTTTCAAAACATCCAACATAAAACAATCTCAAATCCAATGGACTTACCAAATGGAAGTCTTAGTGGAATCCCTCCTTCGCAGATTTCATAAAACATAAGATTCTGAAGCAAACTGGTAGAATACGAGAATATCATGGCCCTGTGGACAAAATATATAATGGTAAAAAGGATATGTACTCAAGGCAACCATGCCAGAGATAACTTCTAATTCTGTATTTTTAAATTTTTTTAATAACAGGAGATTATTAAGTGGCCCCTTTACAAAAACAAATCCTTAAAAACTAGGGACCAATGACTTCCTTACTTAGTGTTACTTACTGGTGCTTAAGTGAACAACGGAATTAAACAGAAAACGACAAATCTGATAAAGGTAAATTAGGATTGTTTCTAAACATAAAAAGGAAAAAGGTACCAGATGCCAGCGAGTAAGATATTTTGCTGAGCAGCATACAGTACTTTGGACAACCAATAAACCTCAGTCGATGGCCCAGAATTAAAAAAATCCTTGTTAGGTTCATGAGGAGAGCTTTTATGGCTTTATTTGGTCCTAAATGTGCTTTTAAACCACAGCATAACAGATTGGCAATCAAAATAGCGTTATTTGGACAGGCAAATTATTATTATTTTTTTTTAATTCTTGGTCCGACGACATAGTCATTCTTCTTCTAAAATTTGTAGAATTTTTTATTTATTTACATTATTTCTATATTCTAAAGTTACAATATGTTCTTAATTTAATCAGCAGACTTCAGTTCTTTTAGCTTTATGTTTTTGACGGTCAAGTTTATAAATAGGTTTACATTCTTTTAAAAGAATGTACCATCATTCCTTTTCACACCTCATCATTGTGTGACCTGTTAAGATAATACTAATTGCAAAGGTAAGGGAAACACCACACATTTTAAGCATTGGCCTACTATCAAGAATCGTTCCCAGTTAAAGAGGCTCAAAAACAGTTTACTTGGGATTATTTATACCTGGGGAGCAATTCCTCAAAGTGATAAACATAAATTATCTGCAACACAATTGAACACTGATGATGACTGGTGTTAAGGTAGAATGATAAAGTTCGAAGCTATTACAGGAATTGATAATTATAAAAACTCTTACAAAAAGTTAAAAGCATCGTCATATTGTATGCAATTTAAACCTTTTTTTTTATATAGTGCTCACATTTTAATTAATAATACAGTAAGTTGAAATTTAATAACTTTCTTTAATATATGAAGTACAGGTAAGCAATCTAAATTTTAAAGTTGCTCATTCTAATTATCATTGTCATCAATTTATACAGTGACAAGTATAACTTTAATATAATTTAGTTTTTATGTTTATTTTGGTTATCATTATTAATATGATAGAAAACAGATTTTAAAAATATGCTCAACTGCCATGTAAATTTATGGGTTCTTGTGTCTAGATTTATTTCAATTCCAAAGCTAAAATACCAGAAAATATATCAGATAAATAAACCACTACAATTTAAAACTGCTTTTATTGATGTATTCGATTTATCTATAAACTAATCTTGTTAATGGCATTCAATAAATAAAAATTTGTGATACAACTCCAAAGCTAAAATTCCAGAAAAGTATATCAGATAAATAAACCACTACAATTTAAAACTGGTTTTTATTGATGTATTTGATTTATATACATAAATCTTAATGGTATTTAATAAATAAAAATTATTGATAACACAACCATGTTTGAAAGCTAGTATAAGTTTTACAAATTTGATAAAATTTATTGAAGTTATAAAGGGTTTAGCATAGGCCAAATTAAAAAATATATTTATGCGTCACTGCCCGCTCCTAATTTTCTAGCCGCCTCTCTCTCTTTTTTTAAAAATAATGGCAAGAAGAATGCCGATAATCGGCAGAAAATTATCGTTTTTAATCACCTCGAGCAGCACCAGGAACAAGCTGTGAAGTGCGCGACCAACATCAAAGCGTGTTGGTTTTTTTTGCAGGTAGGTTGCGTAGTGATTGGCTTAGATCTTGTAATACACTCAACCTACCCGCAAAAAAAAACTCCCTTTCTGCACATTGGTAGATGGCCGAGGCGTACTCACTAAAGTCGATGACTGAGCAGAGATATCATATCATGGAGAAAAAAAAACAACAAAAAAACACCCTCCCCGCCCCTGAAAATTTCTGAGAGGGTTACGCTTAACAAGTATATTTTTTTTATTTGGCCTTATTCAGATTTCGATGATGTTTAGTCAATTTCAATCCAAGCATAGTGAGATGCCTTTCAGTAAATCAACTACAGATCAAAAAATGTTTGCAACAAGTGGGAGCAACAGGTCAAGATATGTTTGTGTGTGGTAGGGGAATAAATCAAGTGGTTTACCTGGCAATCATCAGAAATACAGCCAATCTGTTGAGAGGCCTATTAACCTTTTGCTTTGGTGGGATGAGGAGTAAAAACAGGGGCAGATAAGGACAACCATCGTAAGATAAAGAAGTGCTTTAATTTATGTTAAATAGATAATGATAGATCATCTCAAGATGAAGAAATGTTTTATTTTATGTCAAATAATTATGCCATATAAAAAAATGTATTAGTTTATCACCTTTTCTAGCCTGGAAAAGTGATGAGGGAGGGAGGATTTTTATTTATATTTTTTATTATTGCTAATTTGCTGGTGCATTGATATAAAATTTCAAAAAATACATGATTGAGATAATATAAACAATATCGCCTAACTATTTACTAAAAATATTTTTTTTAAATGGATAAAAAACTTATTTTAAAAATTCAAATGTTTAAATTCCATAGAAGACAGGTGGGTGGGGGTGATAAACTAATCTTTTGTATTTGGCCTTATATTCATTATGTAATAAATCCGCTTTAAACCCTGTTTCCATTAACTAATTTTGAAAGATGAAAAGAAACTTTAACTTGATCAATTGGTACCGCTTTGTGCATTTTAAAAAATACAATTCTAAACGACAGATAGTGGAATATTGCTCATAGATATTCACACATACTGTATAATATTCATCATTGAGCAATAAGAATACATGTGTTATAATTTATCATGTCAATAACAATTTTAAAATGTGGTTTTATATGGCAGACTTAATCTGGCACACCAACAAACACAGTCAAATAAATGGTTTAAGTACTTCCTTAACTACTGTGAATCTATCAACACCAGGATGTTTTTCAAGACAGATAACAGAGGTTATTGGCTGTTAAATATTAAACATGTACAATATTGTACTACTGTAAGGTTTTGCAGGTGTATTCAATTTACCTTCCTTGGCTAAACAAATGACAACTAATTTTACTTTGATTTAATCCTGAAAAATATCATTTATAAGGTAAATGTAGTTCAACCTCAACAGGCCCGATTGGCCATCAGCACTTTAGTGTTTCGGACAGAATGTGCAATGCTGTGAGATTGCAACTCCGCTATGTTAGAGAGGGACAAACATAGATAACGTGTCTTGCGTAAGGACGCAAGTGACTTGCACAGTGAGGGCTAAAACTTTGACCAAGAGGTGGAGAGTACCAGAAACTTCAATCAAGCAAGTACTGAGTCAGCTTTTTCCACATACAAATAATAGAGAACAATACTCATCACATTAAATGTGGCAATAACAAGGTAAACCAGTCCCTCCTTGCAAAAATTGATTTTAATTATTAATACACGTTTAAACAGTAGAATGAAAGCTATAAAATGGTAAAAGAATCAACTAAGTCCAACATTTCATTATGAAGTTACAGGAGTTTAAACATATAAAACTGTTTAAAGTTAAATATTTGAGAAATCAGCCTTCAACGTTTATGATTTCTGGCATTTCTGAGGCAGAAACTATCACCAAATCGTGAAAAAATTGTTGTTTTAACTTTGAAAATGGGGAAAATAACATGTCATGATGTATATATTTATAAGGGTTAGTTTAGTGCAATAAAATAGATTATAAGGGTTAGTTTAGTGCAATAAAATAGATTTTAAAAATTCTGACATTCCAGCATGTTTTGGCCATTATCTCTGAAACATGATTTGCGACAAGTGACTGGTTTGGCTTGCCTTTGCCACAAATGTATTCAATAATTGGTACATCATTTCACTACAAATTACAATACACAAATCTATACTGCACTTAAAAAAACAAGGTCATGTCATTAACTATTATTGAAGTCTCCGAAGGGACAGAATCAATATAATTATAGTTTCTTGACTAAAAAAAAAAAAAATAATGCGGCTTAAAATACTCACACTAAGCCGATGCATCCAGATCCACTTGAGGGCGCTGTCCAATAAAAGTTGTATGTTGCCTGCGGAACCATAAAATTATCGTTTATGACTGGCGTACACATATGCATGTTGTTGACTTGTGTGTCTACTTGAATACTGCTGATCATCACAAAAGTAAATGGTGAACTTAACGTTATAGTCACTGAAACATAAAAACAAATTATTTATATAATTCACAAAACAATAATTGACATTATGGACCCCCCTCCCCCTTACAAAATATTATTGAAAAATATAATTATTATAATAAATGATTAATAATAATAATGGCTTAAATGAGAAGTGGATTCGTAGCTTGATTAATGAGTTTGTCTTCCTGTCATCACTAGTGATTCACTTGTATTACATCATGGCCAACAGTTAAAAAAAAAAACCAGAAAAACAGAAATTTACAATAATTTTATTATAAATAAGATGATTTCATTAAAAAGTTTATATGGTATTTATTTGAATAAACACCCTGATTTAAATAAACGACCCTCAAATAATTTCCCCCTTTCAAAGCCTCACTTGGAATAAACGTCTCCCTTAAATAAACGCCTCGGGGCATTTATTTTTCCCTTGAATGAAAACCCCCCACAAATTAATGAAAACAAAACTAATGGAGGCAACATCATTCTCAACACATTCTATTAATGTTCTACTCCAATAGAATTACATTTTTCTTTATGATCAGGCAATAACATATTATGTGGTGAAGTTCAACATTTAGAGCGAAATTAAGGGTCGTTTATTTGAGTATGATAATGATATACGTATCCAGTTTACACCAAAAAAAGAAATTAATAAACGCCTCCCTAGAATACACTCCCCTCAAAACCCATCTCAACAATGAATGCTCCGTTAGAATATTATACGGTGATTATATTATATACAGTACAGCATGCAATGAGTAAATTCAGCTTTTTAGTTATCCAAGATCTATTATATTGTATTTTATTTATGTATAATGAGTTTGCCCAACTATTATATCAAATCTAATTATACCATTTGAAAGAATGTGAAATAAAAAATAAGGTTCCAAACCATTATAGAAAGGGTTATCAACTTGGGTGTTTTATGAGTCTATAGAGTGTTGAGGATTGAGAACAGCAAAAAAAGTCAAAATATTTTGACAATTGACATTTAACATTTACTCATTATAAGCAAACTAAACACCAGTGTTGACATAGAAACAATTCTATCTTCTATTCCCAAATGTCTACTTACAGTATTCTGCCTGGCAATTTTAACTCAAGAAACATTGTTTGAATAGAAGCTCAAAAACTTAACTCATAGTTAAGACACAAATTGATACTCTTAAAGCAAAGCGTTACTAGTAACATAAGGTGGTCACAAACTAAGATACTTTCATTTAAACATAAAATGTGAATAAACTTTAGAATTTGCACAAACTTCTGATGCTCATACTTATTCGAAATGCTCACAAACTTATAATGTTCACAAATTTAAAATGCTTACAAACTAATAAATATACTAGCACATTTAAAATAGTCAAACTTATGATGCTTATGAATTATGATGCTCATGAACTTTCTTAAGATGCTTGTAAGCTACTCACAATGATGCTCACAATCTTAAATTATTCACAAATTATAAGTATTCGCTGAATTAAAATGTTCATAAATTTAAGATGCTCACAAACATAATGTTCTTCCAACTTTATGATGCTACTAAACTTCAGATGCTCAGAAATTTAGGATACTCACATATTTCATAAATTCCAGTATTCCACAAATTCTAGTAATCCAAGTGCTATCAAGTTATTTCCATTCAAATTTAATAATTAAACATTAAAATTTTAATAGCAAGCAAGAAGCATTAAACAGAAATATGAATGAAACTTACCCGAATATTGTTCACCAGGACTATAATGTGAAGGATTGCCATCTACTGTCACAGAGAGTGATAGCTGTGGACTATCAAATTGTCCAACATCAATAGCTTTGTTGTATGTACGGCTACATGGATACTGTGCAGAAGACAATCTCACAGAATATGAAAAAATCACAAAGATCTGGAGGAAAAATATTGTCTGTCTAATTGCTGAAAACATCATCATAATCTGATTGAGCATTTTTACAAGTCTGAATAGCAAGTGAGAAGTAGTTCTCTTCCCATGAGAGAAATTTCACTTCATTCCTTTGGTAGTTGTAGAATGTTTAAAACTTCTCCTTGAAAAAGTTTTTCTCAAAGATCCATGGAAGTTTTGAAGAGTAACTTTTGACTGGATGCTTCAAATATATAATTAAAATCAATCACTCAATCAAGACAATTTATTTCAACAAATAACGATGAACTGAAGTTGAAACTTGAGATGATGATTTGAAATCTTGCAAATTTCAGCTGTGGTTTTATCTATGTCCTTGGTGGTTTAAGCTCCCTATCTCCTCATCATGTATCTCCAACAGGTACTTAAAGAGAAAGTGCATTAGCCAATCAGAAAGCTGTATATGTCACTTTCCGTCTCAAGCTTCTTTTACTAGAAAAACAAAATAAAACATGTCCAAGGTATTGTGACCATACAGTACTACTGTATGCACTGGAATACTTTTGTTTCATTTAAACTAAATATTCTCCCTGCAAACTAAACTAAAACCTTTCAATATTAAAATTACAAGTTTTATTTTGGTTTTGGGAATTAGTAAATGTGAGCATGGCAATGATGGGTGAAAATGGGTTTTTTGCAACTCAAATCTCTCTGCTGACTGGCAAGCATATAATCCATTTTAACATTACAAGCTGTTTTAATTTTCTTAATTAAAAATTGAATAATATATATATAAAAATATATCAAAGAGGGATCATAAAAATGAACAATCTAAATTATATATATATATATATAATATATATATATATATATAAAAAATATATCAAAGAGA